CCTAATCTTCGGAGTGGGTGGTTGGCGGGTGCTCTGGTGTGGTTTGCCCCTTCTTTCCTATCAAACATCTATCGTCCTTTCTCTCTTCCTTCTTTTTTATGTTTGTTACTCTCTTGTAACACCCCTAATCTTCGGAGTGGGTGGTTGGCGGGTGCTCTGGTGTGGTTTGCCCCTTCTTTCCTATCAAACATCTATCGTCCTTTCTCTCTTCCTTCTTTTTTATGTTTGTTACTCTCTTGTAACACCCCTAATCTTCGGAGTGGGTGGTTGGCGGGTGCTCTGGTGTGGTTTGCTTCTTCTTTCCTATCAAACATCTATCGTCCTTACCTCCCCTTCTTCCTTTTTATGTTTGTTACTCTCTTGTAAGAGCTCTAATCTTCTGGCGCTCATTTGACCTTAAGCAGTTGCAAACGCCGTAAAACCTCTACTAAAACTAGAAAAAACTAAAACTAATCTTCGGCGCTTATATAAAACTAGCTGGGTACCCCGTTCGATGAACGGACTCTTTATTTTACTTTTCCGATGCAGGATGAACGGAATCAAAAGAATTGATAACCGTGCACCCTTTAAATATTTCTCAACCACCGTTATTTTTTCAAAATTCGAAAGTTACGTGGTTGGGAAGTCTTAGGCGGCCAAAGTGACGAACTTTCACAAATATAATATGTCATGTATAGATGACCTTATTTTATTGTGTTGCAAGTGCTGTAAAACTGTTATAAAAAAAACAAAAAACAAAAAACAACTTGTGGCACTTTCGCCCGTTTCCTGTGGGAGGAGGATGAGTTTGGTTTGGTGGGTGGGTGGTTGGCGGGTGCTCACTCTGTTGTGGTTATTTGCTCCTCTTTTTTCCCTATCAAACATTTAACGTTCTTTTCTGCCTTCCTTCTTTCCAAACAAACATCAGCTGTCGCCCGTATCTCTCACCCTTCGTTTCGTAATTCGTTTCTCTCCTGTATCACCAGTATGCTTCCGTACTTCCATGACTTATTTGTGTTGAAAGTGCCTTAAGATTCACACCAAAACTAAACTGTATGAGTTTGAAGAGTTGAATTTCAACTGCTTGTATTACTCATGAATTAGGGTGTTTGACAGTGACAGACACATACTGATGTCACAAGACAAGACAGTGACAGACACATACTGATGTCACAAGACAGTGACAGACACATACTGATGTCACAAGACAAGACAGTGACAGACACATACTGATGTCACAAGACAGTGACAGACACATACTGATGTCACAAGACAATGACAGAC